TATCCCGAATTTAGTACTTGGTCCGGTTACACCCTAGAAGATCTCAACTCTCAAGATCCCGTCACAGGAGGCGGCAAGTACGACGCAAAGGAACTACAAAGGCAAGGGAACACACCCGCAAGGCATCCCTACGGCCAGATCCACGATCTAGGCCCCGGATCCCATAAGCTCGAATATTCGCTTAGGATTCGGAACAACCCCACGGACGCAGAGTGAAGATTTTCCCACTGCTGCTCCACCCCATCCCCACGTCTCGCCAAGACACTTAAGCTTCACCACTTGAACTCTTCGGAAGTTACCGAGAGAGCAAGATCCCGCCCTACCGACGGGTACACAAGGTGAGGAAAGTTCAGCAGAACACGGATCATCGGGGGACCCCCTCCGTTAGTCGGTGTCTGGGCGCACTTGGTAAGTTGGATCTGGCAATCTCGCAGATTTTGCTGATCCCGCTACACCACAATGGTGCGCGTGCCCGGAATCGAACCAGGGATTTCACCGGATGAGTGTACCCATAATAGGGTGACCATGATGATTACGTCATAGATCCGGTGGATCCGAAGATAACACAGCTGGGATGATGGTTCAAGGGAAGAAGGGACATGCAGCCGAGCCTGGTAAGGGATTTAGCAGATGAAAGACATAGAAGGTAGAAATCCAGGCAGGTATAGGCTTAAATATCAATACAGACCTCAATTTGCACAGTAACACGCAAGTGCCTTCCTGCCCTCAAGAACCGGAACTACATTGGCCGTACGAGCTAGGAGAAGGTTGGGAATTGCGAATCTAGTGTTGGTAGTGATAACTGTGAATAATACATTGACCAGATCCTACAACCTAGTGAGCTTTTCCTTTACTCGTGCAGAACCAACTGGTTAACCGAATTTACTACTTGGTCGGTTACACCCTAGAGGTTCTCAACTCTCAAGATCCCGTCATAGGAGGCGGCAAGTACGACTTAAAGGACAACACAAAGGCAAGGGAACACACCCGCAAGGCAACCCTACGGCCAGATCCACGATCTAGGCCCCGGATCCATAAGCTCGAATATTCGCTTAGGATACGGAACCATCCACGGACGCAGAGTGAAGATTTTCCACTGCTGCTCCACCCCATCCCCACGTCTCGCCAAGACACTCAAGCTTCACCACTTGAACTCTTCGGAAGTTACCGAGAGAGCAAGATCCCGCCCTACCGACGGGTACACAAGGTGAGGAAAGCTCAGCAGAACACGGATCATCGGGGGACCCCCTCCGTTAGTCGGTGTCTGGGCGCAGTTGGTAAGTTGGATCTGGCAATCTCGCAGATTTTGCTGATCCCGCTACACCACAAGGCGTACGCGGTGAAATATCTGCGGTGGGTTGGCCACGGCGGAGAAGCGAGAGGAAGAAGGGCTTGCAGGGTAACTGCTAGTTTCGAGAAGGAGGTAGTACTCGTAAAAGTGTAGTGGGCCTACAAACGAGGAGCAACCAATCGGAGGGGGACAGGGAGTTGGATTGGGCCAGAAGAAAATGATGAGAGCGAAATAAACTCTCTAGATATCTGGAGAGACAAAGTGGAACATATACTGGTTAGATGGACTGGGCCTGCTCCACCTACGCGGGGACTAGCACGACTAGTCCTCCGGTAGCAGGCTCTCGTCGAAGTCTACGCGGTCGATCCTATCGTCCGTTGGTGAGGCGATCGGTCGGTCCGGATATGTATTGACTAGCTTCAGCTTCGTCACATGTACGATCGGGAATAGTCGATATTCAGTGCCGGGAGTCTCTATTCTTGCCGCTTGTCGATCGATCATTTCGGCCGCTCTGAAGGGGCCGTGCCACATGTGCTCTAACTTCTTAGCGTAACCTTCTTTGACACGATCTAGGTATAACCACACCTTACCACCGATCCTCATGTCATGGAAGCGCACATTCTCGTTGTGTCGATCTGCTCTCGCTGTTATTGCTTCGTGCAGAGCTTCGTTGACCTGTTCTCGGGTCTGTTGGTGCTAGCGTTGGATGTTATAGCGCCATCGACGCGGCTCCGAGTCCTGGCGTCGTGTGCTGCCGAGCGGAAGTGTTGCTTCCAGGGTGGACCTTACGTCCCATCCGTCGATCAGGTAAAACGGCGTCTCTCCGCGAATTTGGTGCCGTGTTAATCGCGAATGTCAAACGCTCCCCGTATTCCTTCTGATCTACATCTGCAACATACATCTTCAATGATCTGGTCAGTGTCTATACCATCCGTTCCGCTGTCCCATTAGCCTGAGGCTGATACACCATAGTGGCACGCTGCCGTTGCCCTACCATACGTTCGAATGCGCGGGAAAAAAAAACAGACATGAACCCTGGCTCCCGATCGTGCCTGTCACTTCGCTCGCGCCGAAGCAGCAGAAGACACGTTCTTTGTCGCTCTCAGTTATCGTCTGCCCAGTTCTCGACGCGCTTGCGTTGGCTACCACGTAGCCTGAGAGCAGGTCTACCCAGATGAGCAGCTCGGTATTGCCCTTGTGTGACTTCGGCAGAGACGGGATATGGTCCATCGCGACACATTGAAATGGGTACGCTGCTTACATGTTCCCCGGCGATTCTCCTCGAAGTGTCGGACGTCATTTCCCTGTCTCGCAACCCACACATTGTCCCACGTAGCGCTGCACACTATGAACAGGCTCCGCCAATGGAAGCGCGATCTCACTCGCTGGTACGTTCTTCCTATTCCTTGGTGGCCGCCTTCCAGACTTGTGTGTAATGATGAAGCACGTCTTGTTGTAGATCTTCCGGCACTACCAGTGTCGCCACTCGATCGCGTCTCCCCTTGCGTTCGGACAATAGAAGAGTAGCCCGTCCTCGCCGGCTTCGTACTCGTCGGCGATTTTGCTGCAAGTACGCGCCTCTCCAGCGCTTAACTTCTCCATATCCCCCAACAGGTACGTTTTTAGGTCCGCGATCCACTTCTCTTCGTTCTGTGCTTTTCGGATTTGATCTGTTCTCATACGTTGTACGATGTCCAACTGTAGCAGTTCCGGAGGGCTCGCGAGGCGTGTATGTAGGTTGTAGCAGCCGCTACACATACGCTCGGCGTCTGGTCTTTCGGGAGCAACAGTTCCGGCAGTCGGTTGAGAGCAATCAGGTCTTCTCGGTTTATGTCCGAGGTAACTACGGTATATGCTTGTTCGCGTAGCCCGTCGCTTGCTAGCCAATCTGCGCTTTGATTCCATTCTCGCTTGACATGTAGGAATTCGTGTGCCGGTCACGACCCCAGTCGATCTAGCGCCCGCTGTCGCAGAGGCGTCAAGCCGGGTGCCTTGCACTCGATCTCGCCTCGTATCTACCGGATCACTAGGTTGGAGTCGCCGCAAATAATCAGCCGTCCCCTGTCTTGGCTGGACAGTAAAACGAACGCCAACAGTAGCCCGTGGAACTCTGCCTCGTTTACCGTGAGGTCTAGTGCGTACTTCGCTTCTGCTGCGACCACAATCCAGTCAGGTAGCTTCCATACGATGGCGCTGCACACCTCTCCGCCGCGTTTGACACGCTCCGATCCGTCGAACCTCACGACTAGCAACCCCTCGCCTTGATCAACCGTTGGCGGGGTTGCGGCGACATGTGAACGTGGCTGCTTCCTTGGAGCAATCGACGACAAGATCGAGTCGACGTTCTCCCGAGAAGTGATACTTGCTGCAATGATGCCCAGAATTTCGTCCTCTCCGCGCGTACACTTGATAATTTCTAGCGTCCACGGCGAAAGCAATGCCGCCCAGTTGCTTAGCCGGCTCTGCAAGCCCGATGATCGCACCAGCCATGCTAGCGTGGAGTATCGCGTCAGCACATTGATTGATCGCGTCACCAGCGTGGTGTAACACACGTCCAGTATCCGGAGAAGAGCCAAGATCACCTTCTCAACGGTTTCGTAGGTCAACTCATTGGACTTCAACGTGCGACTGGTGAACATTATCGGCTTATACGTGCCGTCGTGTTCCTGCATCAAGGTTGCCGAGATCGCCCAATCACTCGTGTAGACAACGATCACTGGCGGCCGATCGGGGCCAAAGTGTCTGAGCATTGGCGCGTCTGCGATCTTGTTCTTCAGCAATTCGAGCGCCACTCGAGCCCATTTGTTGGCTTCATCCGCCGAGGGGATCTGCTTCGCATCCCCAGCCGTTCGATGGGGTTTCTGGTCCATCTCGTGAAAATCCACTTCCCGCAGCTCGTACAAGATCGACGTGTAGATAGCGAAGTCCTCAAAGAATCTACTGTAGTAGTTAAGGCTACCAAGGAAAGACTGCATAGATCACAGTGTTCGTGTGAATGGCAAAGCGGTCAGAGTCTCGAGGTTCTTCGGGTGGGTTTCGAGGCCGTCCGCGGACACTCGATGTCCCAGGTAGTCTACCTTGCGGCAGCCCCATGAGTTCTTCACCACGCTGATTGACAAGTTCCAATGGTCGCACGCGTCTAGCAGTCGATTTATTCTGTTGCCGAGCTCGTTCCAGCATTCAGCAGCCACCAGAATGTCGTTGATGTACGAGCGACACCCTAACACCGGCGGTCTAGAGTGTACGAGTGGATCCCAGATCTTGAACGCATCTGCCATACCTGACTGGTCGCCTTCTTCGGGGATCCGAAGATAGCCATACAGTGCGTTGTGCAGAAGAAGCTGGTAGATTTGAGGGATGTTCGTCAACCCAATGGGCATACGCAGCCATTCAAAAAGACCAAACGGCGTAACGAACGCCGACACCAGGCGCGCCTGCTCGGCCATCGACGCGACCCAGAAACCGCTCGCCATATCTAATGCGCAGTATCAGAGTGCCTTATCTAGGTCTTCCAGCAGATCGTTGATCAACGGCATGGGGTGCACCATGAAACATGTCAGGCTGTTCACCACGCGGTGATCGATGCAGAGTCTGATGTCATTCTTCTTGACAATCACCACGACCGGCGACGCCCACGGCGAATTAGATTTCTTGATGAACTTGGCTGAGAGCCGTCCCTTGATCAAGACGGATAACGTTTCTCGAAATTGGGGTGCAACTCGACGCACGCGCTGAGCCACTGGCTTGTGTCAAGATTGCTAACTAAGCGTCTACGTCTTCGGTGAAGAGTTCTGTGGTGTTGAAAATCCCACGTGAACTCTAGCTACAAATGTAGCTAGGACGTTCCCACAACAATACGGCTTCTAGGATAGTAAACGATCGTTCGGGCGGACCTGAAGACCCCAGTTCTGCCCTTGCACCGGGACAAACTGGACCTTGTAAACTACTTATATAGGCCAACCAGTAAAAATAAGAACACGCTACTAGCACGAGCAAAGCTAGCAGGTGTTAAGAATCCTCGTGGTCCCAACAGCGGAAGATTACCAGGCACGGGTAAGCCTTTTACGAGGTCACCGAGTGTTCAACACTCGGTTGGAAGAATAAAAGGGAGGCAATTCAAGCACTCCCAGTCGTGCAAATAGGCAACAATAAGCCGTCACGTAAAACCTCCCGATAATAATCGGCCAATACACAAAGTCTCTTGGCCTTGCCGGATGAACCCTCGCTACAGAGCTTCGAGTTCACCGACAGGCATAACACACTCAAACAAGCTGTACCAGACGCTTACCTTGAAGCCGGACGTCGCTCTGTGTGCTTGAGTGGAAATTCTGTTCTGTATTTAAGCTTACCCTTTCGGGTCTATTCCTAATAAGAAGTCCTAATCAAGTATACAAATATCAAGTGAACAATGATCCGTTATGGATCTCCTTGTATGCCAAGCGTCGTCTGCACCGTCGCATGAGTATCTTTAACGGTCCGCGCCCTGTCCCAGACGGTGAACGTGTCTTCCAGAGGTCGCTGAGTATTCCGCGAACTCATCCCATCCGCCACTGAGGGTTCGCACCGTAGATGGTCCGCTGAATGCGAATCCGGCCAGTTCATTATTAATAATAAGGACAGCCTGGATTCAGTGACATAGGGCCGTATCCGATACTTGTTGAAAACTCGGAGGTGACGCCGTCGAGTCCCTTGCACCTTGGCGTCTCCGTACATCACCCGACCGAGGGTTCGTTGCTTGAACAACTTGGGCGGTGTCACGTCTTTGTCGACGGGTGATAATCCGCAACTACGGAGAAATCACTACACCACAACTGCCCCTGTCGCAATGGAAGCCACGGTACTGGTGCCCGTTGTGACATTTCTTCATTCTCCAATTCACCATCCAGTCACCGTATGTCCAAGCGTCTGAATCAAGCCGTGTCCGACGCGTTTCAGCGTCTCAATCCTCGTCGACGTTGCGAACGTGAACAGCTGGAGGTACGTCAGCTCATCCTTCTCTTGAATCATCGGTACCTTGCTCATCACCCCGCATTACTCGACTTGTTTCTCAGGTGGGCAAGACCGAGGGTTCGAACGACCCTCAGTCTGCTACACTTTCCCTGACAGCAGCGTCATCAGCCGGTCCTCCGGCGCGTCCTGCCCCGGACTCTTCACCCCCTGTGGTAGCTCCTGCGGCACTCCCCGTCGTCGCTGAATCCGCGGAGATGGCTCCTGCTGCTCCTCCTGCGCCTGCTGGTGGTACACCACCACTCACCGAAGATTCGCTGCGCGCCATGCTGGCTGAAAGTACGGAGGCATCGGTCGATCACATGATGACCTCGATAATTCCGTACTTGACTGCAATAGCTCGTCATCAAGTGCAGCTCAGCGTTGCGCCTCCTCTCCACGGCGATGTACACGCTCAACGTCGCCTCGAGACTGCCGTTGGTTTCGATGATGTCCTCGCTGCGGTACAACCTCTTCCTGCGCGCTGTCGGCATTACCCGAGCGAGTCGCCAAATTGGAGCGTCAGTTGCGGTTTGCTCAGTCCGAGGCTGCTGCCGCCGTACGTTCGGTGGCACCCGAAATCATGGCTCGGGAGAACGCGGAGGCGTTCCTCAAGGCTGCCAACGCTGAGATCGAAGCCCTTCACCACAACGTCAAAATTCTCCGCGAGTCGAACGCCAAGAACGACACCATGCTCGCCACTGTTCAAGCCACTATGGAGCGACACGCAGAAGACTTGAATCGTCTGCACTGCGAGGTCCAAGCTCGGGACGTTTTCATCAACACGTTGCACAAGAAGCTGGCTCGCGAACGCGAGGTGTACAAGTCTTCCATTGGAGCGAATACCGGGCAGACTCGGAAACTTCACCTCCTTCTGGCAAAGCTTGCCCAGGGCAAGTATGTTGATAACGACACGCTCAAGGTCCTCGAGAACCAGCAAGACCGTAACACTCGTCTCCTCCAAACGAATCGCACCCTCCGTGCACACGTGAGTCTGGCCGGGATGGATCCCGAGGTACTTCGTCTGGCTGTTGATGGTACGTTCCTAATGTCGCTCCTTCTACCGTGTGTTCAACAACTAACGTTCGCTCACAATCCTTCGTGATAGGTCTGACTGCGGGTGAGCTGGACCTGGAGCGCTGGACTTGGATCAAGAGACGCTAGTCGCTTTGCGGCGCATCCAGTCTGCTACCGCGTCTTCGGACGATCCTCAAGCTCTTCCTGCCGCTTTGGCCAAGGCCGCTCACCAAGTGGCCCATGGGAAGTCCCATAAGCGCCTTCGACCAGGTGGCGAGGATTCAGACGACGAGCCGGACGACTCTGACGACTCTGACGAAGACAAGGCTCCAATCCCGACGGACAAGGCCAGTACTTCGATGGCAGCTGCTGGTCTCGGTGATGCGCCACCTGCCGATACTTCAACTCCCAAGTCGGCTCGTAGATCGCTATTCGGCCCGAAGGCGTGGAAGAAGGCGGACCAGAAGAAGCGCAAGAAGTCTCGTCCTCATTCTCCTGCCAAGTCACCCCGTCGTC